TATATATATACCTATACACATAAATATAAAAAAAAAGAAAGAAAGAAAAAAATAGCGCACACAGAGTAAACGTCCCGCGACGAGGTATAAAAATAATGTGTCATTTTCGCAAAACAGCTGCACGCGCGGTCGCGTCAGCACACGCCCTGAAACTTTGGACGGAAAATAGCGCGGCCGGTCTATTTCTGCGAGCAACATACATTCTATGTATAACGCCAAGTGCTAAGGTCACTGTGTGTGTGTGAGTGTTTGCTGCTGCTGCTCAAGCGGCGCGGCCTTGGCACTGCGCGCGTTTTACGTTCGTTTACGAGCAACTTTTACTTATGCCGTGTTACGGGGACCGCCCAATCCCCGCGTGGCCGATTTTATCGCCGGTAATAACGAGCGCCCGATTACGGAGGAGTATAATCAGAGAGACAGAGAGAAAAAGGGAGTAATGTTCAGCGCCCGGACAACCGCAATGTGTGCCGGCCCGCGCTGCGATTCGCGCGCGCCGTTAGACGCGCTCTTCTTCCGAGCGGAATGAGAAGCAGAGTATTTCGTCGTCTTTCAGGCTGACCAGCGAGCAGAGATTCGAGATCCCGTCCAAGCCGAGATTCTACGACCTGAGAAAGCCGCGCTCGCTGAAGGTGAGTCGCCGTTCCTTTTCTGGAGACTCGCGACAATCAATTGGCACCTTCGTTCTCTTCAGCTGAACTGCTCGCGCATGCATCGGTTCGAGAAATTTGTCCGAAGCGTGAGAACGTCGTACGTACGCTACGACGTGCGTGCACATTTTTTCTTCGACTAACGCAGCGAGTTCAGCCGAAGAGACCAGACCGATAGATTGAGCAATTCCGCCTCGCACGCATGCGTGCGCCGCGAGGCGCTCCGACGGAATCACTCGCGAGGAGCGATCTGCGATCGATGACAAGTGTATCCTCGATGTGTTCTCTTCCTCTTCGTTTTTTCTTCCCGATAAGCGAGAGCGATCCCGCCCTATTTTTATCGTCCTCAACCTCCATTAATTATTTTTACAATTATATCGATTTATCGCGTTATCGTTGCCTTGCCTACGTTCGTTATATATTTGGCCGCGCTAAATAATTCATGTTATGACTGCGTTTCGCCCGACCGGCCGGTGTATCGCGTTTAAAAACCCGTTACGTCTCATTTCGAGAGCTACTCTCTCGTTGTAATTTGTAAATTATTTGTTCCACGGTGCGAGACTGTGCGAACCCCGCGCGCGCGCCTCACGGTAATTGAATTTTCGATCGAGCGCAAAACCGACGGCGCGCCCGCATTTCTCTCTCTCTCTCTCTCTTTCTCTCCGTCTCTCGTTCGATTACGCTGACGAACGCGACAACGCGTTAAATACGTGTCGTATTCGCGTTTTCTCCGCGCCGCGGAACTAAGGTCGGTGCAGAAAGAAAGAGAGAGAGCTCACGCGTACATTGCCGATGATGAAGCCGAGCGACATTCCGAGGGTCGGAAATATCCTCCGGCCGGCCGGCCGGTCAAGAGAGATCTCATATCGCGGGCGATACCGCCCGGTCTCGCCCATCAGGGCGCATGTGACTCGGGAGATACGGACGGAACTAAGAGAAACTATGGTTCTTCCGTCCGTGTATATCTAACTGGAGATATACGCCGTCGGTCTGCGCGCCTTTTCCCTCAGGATTGGCGCGTAACGCGCCGTACATTCACCACCACCGGCACACACGGTACGCCACCGTGTACGCTGGGGTGCGCGGGGGTAGGTGGTGGGTAGTAGAGGCGAGTGGTAGTGGCGGTGGGGTGTGCCGTAAACGGGGTGGCCGGAGGGTGACGGAGGGAGGTTGCACGTTAGCCCGGTTCGGATATATCGCCGCGAGCGGCATGGTCGACATGCGCGGCGAAGGGAGCCGGGGGGCGCGGAGGGTGGTGGCAAACGCAGGCTCGGAGCGTGGAGCAGGCGGGATGAGGCAGGGTGGAAGGTCCCGGCGAGAGAAGCGAGGAGAGCCAGGAGGGTCGAAGCGAGCGAGTCGTTTGGGGTTGGGAGTGGCGCGGCGAAGGGGTATAGCGAGGGATATAGAGGGTCGAAGCGGAGGGATGAAGCGCGCGAGGTGCGACGCTGCTGCCGCCGACGACGAGGAGAGGTGGGGGGAGACGGCGGGCGAGAGAAGCGCGCAGCTGGTGGATCAATACACCCCCCTCCGCGCTTCTTCTCGCCGCTCGGCTCCGTCCGCCCCGCTCGGTCATGTTGTTGGCCACCCCTCGCGAGCGACCCCCCTCCCTCCCCCCCCC